GATATAAAGATTACATTAATAGTCATATTAATAAAAATGAATCATTATATTTTGCACGCCTCTACTTACCTATTAATATGAATTAAATTTAGTGCAATGCTGTGAAAAGATATACTAAGTACACAAAAATGAATGATGCTGTCCTTCAAATATAGTCATACAAAGATGATAAGCACTTCCTCTAACTTCCACCCTCATAACTGTGATTGATTTTATTACTGAATAATCCACATGTTAAAATTTACTACTATTGATATAATAAGGACTCTCAAGATAGTTGAATGGGATCTGGGATTCAGACCAACTATCTCAGAACAAAATTTCTCTGCAGAGAATCCCTTGATTTGACTGGCAACTAAATACCACAATTTCACTGGAACTAGGCTTTAAGTAATCTAATAACTGGTGAACACAGAATTATATTTAAAGGTCAGATAAAAAGATAACTTCATTAATTCTTAGAAAATACCTTCGTGACACCTCAGTTTTAACAACTACACCTATTCCAAATAGTACTGTCCAGGTTATTACTTTGCAATATATCACACACCTCCAATGCTAGTAAGAAAAGTACATGCCCGTGGCCAGAGGGACCTCTGGGCAGAGTGGGAGGACAATGGGCCAGGAATGAAGGAGTGGCTCTAGGCATAGCCTCACTGAGGGTCCACTTCACTTCTGAACTAGTGCCCTCCTCCAGCCAAAGGCAGAGGCAGCGTGGGATGGCGGGGGTAAGTACTGAGCTAGGCGTGATGAGATCTTGCTCTAGATACCAATGCCACTAGCTATGTGAACTCTGACACGTCAACCCTTCTGCTTCTCAGTTTCACGGTAAAGGGATTGACAGTCAAAGATTTAAGGTCCTAGCAGCTCTCAAGAGTTTACACTCTATGATTTTAATGTTTACCCTACTTCTCAGAGGGTTTTGTTGAGGATCAAATGAAGATGTATATAAATAAATTTTGATACAAATAGAAGTTACTGTTGTTGTTTTATAGATCTTCTTCATTATACTAAGGAAGTTTGGAAACAGTTTTGAGATGCAGTACAACATGTTCACCATATGGTGAGACACTTATGAACTATAACCTACAATTTAATCTAAAATGTTAAAATTAAAATGTCCTTTTTTCCCAGCTTTATAAAGGTATAATTGACAAATATAATTTTATAACTTTCTTTCTTATACAAATTACTCAGAAAAGATTTATGGTTTTAATTTTAATAAAATTAGCTGATTTATTATTTTGTTCATTAAGAACCTAGAGCAAAAGCCTAATGAACAGTTCCTAAAATAAGTATCTCATAAGAGTTGTATCCAGCTCTTTTCCTCTCTAACCCATCCCTCACTAAGACACGAGCTGTATTTTTTATTTTATTTTATTTATTTATTTATTTTTTGCGGTACGCAGGCCTCTCACTGTTGCGGCCTCTCTCATTGTGGAGCACAGGCCCCGGACGCGCAGGCTCAGCGGCCATGGCTCACGGTCCCAGCCGCTCTGTGGCATGTGGGATCTTCCCAGACCGGGGCATGAACCCGTGTCCCTTGCATCGGCAGGCGGACTCTCAACCACTGCGCCACCAGGGAAGCCCGAGCTGTATTTTTTAGAAACATATTTTATCATTTCTCTTTCATCCTCATACCTTTGGATAGCTCTATTTTATCTAGAGAATAAAATGTGAATTCCTCAGTAGGGCACAGTTTGACCCCAATCTACTTTGCAACTCAGTTCTTCCGAAACACTTCCATCTCACCATTTCCTCCAGCTAACCTAAGATTCAAACGAACAAACAAGTTCGTTTGTTTAGTTGCCTGCCTCTCAGCTCAGCGTGCCCTCCTGCAGCCCCATCTGCTGATGACGCCGATGACAAAGACAGAGGCGAGACCTTGGAAGGTATTATAAGGACTCTGGAACTCATTCTGACCGCCACAGAAACCCATTTAAGAGTTTTAAGCAGGGAAGTAACAGGATCTAATTTATATTTCAGAGAATCACATTGTCTGCTGTGGGGAGAATAAGCTAAGGGACAGGAGTAAAAGCAGGGAAGTGGAGGGAGAAGAGGGATCCCGAATGGCTTCTGGTTCAACCTAAATGACTGGGTACATGTGCCGGAGTGCTGGGTGGGAAGACCTGGTGTGGGGCAGGGGAAGTGGAAGTGGAGGAACAGTTTGGGGGCAAGAGTTCTGCGTGGACATGTAAAGTACGAGAAACGCTCAGCTGCTTTATCCCTCTGTATTTCAGTGACACTTTGTTTATACTGTGATTTTAGAATTTATCACACTCTGACATAATTTGTTGCGTGCTCATTTGTCTTCCCAACCAAAGTTCCTTGAGGGCAGAGACTGCCATATTTAGTCCATATCCTTAAGAAAGGGACTTAAACAAAGTAGCCACTTAAAATGATTTTAGAATGAATAAAGATAGTATTCTAGAAACTCTGAAGAATACAAACCAAGGAAGAAAGTCTTACTTTTCTAGCAGTCTCCATTACCCAGAACTCACCTTGAATAAGGTCAATATAAGTCACAGCAGACCGTAAATGCACTTCTGGGTCCTGTCTTCCAGCATATAAACTCACTTATATATAATGTATATCAAATCAACCCTTCCTCTTAAGCCTCTTGCATGAAGGCCAGTGGGCCCATATTGACTAGTTCTGTGTAAATAGTCTTTCTTTACACTGTACAAAGCCAAAAGCTGATAGCTTTTCAGTAAGATTTTTATTTTTAAACATCCTATCTACATTGTTTCCATAGTCCTTCATTTCAGATTCTAATAGATTATTTATACAGTCAAGAACACTTAACTATTTATCCCCTTTTAAAACTGGTTTGAATATTGAATAGACTCACAGAATTTTTAAGACAGAAACTCACCAAATCCAGACCCCTCATTTACCTACAGGGATGAGAAAACTGAGGCCTGAAGAAATTACTAAAGATTCTATAGTCATTCAGAAGTGAAGTCAGGTGTAGAAACTAGCTCACCTGTTTCCTAGGGCAGGATTTTTTTCCACAAAGATTGGCTTCTTAATGAATAAGATGGATTTGGCCATTTTGCAAAGGACTACATACTCTGCTTTTATAACTCTTCTATACAGAAATATCTCAATAAATTTTATAGGAAGGATATGCCTTAAAATGAGGTCAGGCATATTAATAACTAAAAATCAAGCAAAGCATTCTTACATGTATTACATGACTTAATGGTAATGCTCTTGCGATAGTGCACACACCAAGGGACATGCATGATTTAAAAGGCCCACTCAAGGCCTATATGGCCACGGGAAGCTGAAGGTAAATGGAGCCAATCTTACGTATAATTGTGAAGTTTGCAAGGCTTGCCTTTATCATATCGGGCTTTCCTTTTATTCTTTATCTTTCGTCTTTATCTGTCATGGTGGTAATCGCTCTTCCATTTCAAAGGCCTTCCTATCTATCCTCTCTGCTCTTTCCCTTTACAGAAAAAGAATTTTATATCTATTATCTACACCTTGTTGGTTGATAAACTTAAGACACTACTTAAATGAACTTTAATCAATCTGCTAACTCAATCGGACATTTATGTTCTATCCCCTTAATCCTGAAATGTAGAAGGAAAGATTTGTTCCTGGAAGAATTTTAGACCTCAGCAGAAAGATAGGGATCAAGTGGTGGAGTCAGGTTCCCTCCCTCCTAGTCATTAAAATGACGTGGTCTGAAGGCAAACCAAGTATCGAGTTAGGGCGCAGAGAATGTGTCTACAGGAGCAGCCACGGTGGGCCCCCCACTGTACACAAGAACAAAGCTATTCCTCTAACTTCTAGCGGTATCTGAAACACTAGAAATTTAAAATTTCTAAGGTTTGGGATAATTGTTAATTATTATAGTGATTTAAAATTAGAACTCAAAGTATTTTCAAAGCTAATGTACACACTCATCCTGTTTACGAGATAAGTATGTTACACTCATATAGTATCTTATGCTTATAGAGTGCTTTCATATGTGCTTCGTGATTTGAACTTCAACAATATATAATGCAAACATCATTTCTAGTTTTAAAATGAAGATCCTAACATTTGCAGGTAATAAGGATAATAAAAGGCACAGCCAGACTGAACATAAGAGTTCCTGTGCCAAGTATTTTCCCACTGTAATACGTAACTCAGCGATATTAAAATGTAGCAATATTAAAATAACTTGCACATGTAAACTCCAAATACCTTCAAAGTAGAAAAGTAATATTGTTCCTAAATTTCTAAATAAAGTACGTTGATCTTTTCAAGCTCAAGTTTCTTCTTCTTCTTATAACTCTCTGTCAAAGACAACTGTTTTGTTATTCTCAGCTGTCTCATCTTTCTAAAAGACTTCAATAGCAGAAAAAATACCATAAAAAACCTAAAGCTAATGAATAGAAATAGTCATCTTTCAATACCAAAAATACACATTTCTCACCTAGATGCTTTTTCTTCGATATCCTCTGAAAACCTTATTCAAATTAATTTATAACATTAGCCTAAAAATTTGCAGTTGTATAGTTCAACTCTGTGATTGATATACATTTTAATAACTAGCTTCTTTGCATATTTTCTTAATTTTCTAATTTTAAAGAAACACGATAGTACTGGCAGGATGTATTCTGTTTCTGCCAAAATGCATTTTATGTAGGCTTTCCTTGAAATGAATTACAAAATGTGATTATCCATAAACTATGGTTCCTTTACCCAAGGGAAACTGAATCAGATTTTATATTATACATGTTTAAAACTCACATGTTTTGCTACCTTTAAATTATTATCTGCTCAATAGAATAGAGGTTGGGAGTGTCTACTATTAAAATTACCAAATTCAAATTTGCTTTTGAAATAATTTAGAAAGAAAAACTGCTGGAATATTATTCACCAGGTGTGAAAACTGACCATTACAATGCTATGAGCCAGATTTCTGAAGTGAAATAAATGATATCCATTAAAAAACAGAATCTGAACATCGAAAGAACAGTCAAAGCAAGAAAGGGGCTCACCAGTTTGAGTGAAACCAAACTGACGCAGAATCTGATGAGCGTCCAGCACGTTTGATTGTTTTGACTTCGACTGTTGTGAGGAGGCTGATACTGAAGTAAATGAGAGATTTTTGTTAACCTGTAATAGGAAAGGCAAATCAGAAACGAAAGCGTAATTTCCTGGGTTACTGATGCAAAAACTGGATGAGAAATAGTTGCTTACGATGCAAACCAGGACACTTGTCAAAAGGAGTGGCAATGATTTATATGCTTAGTTTTTAAGAGTTTAAAAAACGTTAAAGATTTTACAGAATAGTTTTTATCAAAGAAGGAATACAGTGGTAGTGAAAGCGTAACTATATGAAAGTCGATCTGCCTTACTTTGAAAACAAGTTTGCTTAGCATGGAATTGACTTTATTAGTAACTCAGAGTGGTCTTAAAAGTTATGCCAAACAAAATGTGAAAAATAAAAGTGACTCCTTGACTGCTTTCAATTAAGAAAGGGTTAAAATGTTTCACACCCACATTTCTTTAGCATTTTTGAAATAGCAGGTACTTCCTTTTCAGAGACTGCACAGAAAACACCTGTAATATTCATGTTTATATACATCATGGTGACATAGATAACACAGCTGCAGCCTAACTTGCCAAGTGAAATAGTTTCCACTGCATCAAAAAATCTCATTCTTAAGACAATGTCAAAGAACAACTAAAATAATGAACAAGCAAAATCTCTGTAAGTAAATACAATGTTCTACAACACAAAAATCCTACTATAGTTGTCTGAGTACAATAGTTTCACAGAAATGAAAAGAATAACAAGTGCAACATTATAACTACAGCTACTGTAGAAAAATACATGTCACAAAAAAGTTTTAAATGTCTAGTAAATTCATTTTGTAGTTCAAACAATTTCAGCAGTGATCTAGTCACTCATTATTAATAAATCATTCATTTATCTTATTATTTTTATCACTTTCAAAAAGCACGATAAAATATGATCTAATTTTGAAAAAATTTGAAACAGTTTCAAAAGTAATCTGTGAATTAACAAACTGTTAAATGATAGTTTATGGTATGTAAATATCAGTAGATGAAAATAGCTCCTTTCTCTCTCTTTTCTTGCAATAATCAAAACTACACAGAGGACTTCTACTGTATTAGTATTTAAAAATTCCCTTTTGGTGTTCTGTATACAGTAGTACTGGGTTGTGGTTACATGCCCTTTATCTGACTCATTATTTACATAATGTTTGTAAATGCTTCCCTTCTTTCAAACAGTGATAGTAAATGGTATATTTTAGATTAAGTTTTTCTCTTGAAGGAAAGATAATTTGGTGAAAAAGTCAATTAAGACCAGATGATAATATAGTTCTAAGGTTCCTAAACTGTTGTGGTATCATCTTATAAAAAATAAAAATATTTTTCAAAGTAGTTAGATGGGGTCAAATACTACATCAATGCTAAGAAAAATTATCCAGCTAGAAAAATTCTGTAAGGAGCCATTATTAAACATTGACCAAAATTAAAGTTGACTATATTGATACAACAGCTAAAGTAACAAGGCTATCACTTAACATCATTGAACTTCATTTTCCATCTTTAAATGGAGATAATAAAAATAGTACGTATGCGTCAAAGGAAATGTACCTGAAGAGCAGTAACAATGAACTGGTATTATAAAGAGCTATTCACATAGGCTAACCATAAAGCACTAAATAACATATTAAATATGAAATAGATTAAACAAAGTACGTTGGTAAAGGGAACCTAAAGTGCTATACAAATCAAGTGCCATATAAATATTAGTTATCATTAACATCACTACAAGTAAGGGTAATTAAAAATATGTAATGCAGTAAGAAGATGCAGTAAATTTTTCAGAATGCTATGCTTTTAAATGGAAGTACTACATACAAAATGACATATTTATCACTTAACTATTTAATCCACTTCTCTTTTTAGAATCATTTTTCAGTTTTACTTCTGTGTTCTTAAAAATTTTTATCCTATGTGTCAAACAAAGCATTTTGAAATCTGGTGCAAAAGAACAGGTGTATGCTGGACACCACACACACACACACACACACACACATACACACACACAATCTGACTTAATTTGCTTGTGTTAAAACAAAAATGGATACCAAGAAAGCTAGAAGAGGATACTTAAATGCCTCCACTCAAACAGAAAGACTTGCCACTCTTTTTAAGTAAAATGCTGTTAAAAAACCTCAACTATAATCTACAATTACATGTTTTTCCTAAGCATTTTTATAATTTGCTCTTTCTGGACGCATTTCTTTTCTTTTCTTTTTTTTTTTTTTTTTTTGTGCTATGCAGGCCTTTCACTGTTGTGGCCTCTCCCGTTGCGGAGCACAGGCTCCCGACGCGCAGGCTCAGCAGCCATGGCTCATGGGCCCAGCCGCTCTGCGGCATGTGGGATCTTCCTGGACCGGGGCACGAACCCGTGTCCCCTGCATCGGCAGGCGGACTCTCAACCACTGCGCCACCAGGGAAGCCCAAGGACACATTTCTTAGAGACTATTCGAATGTCCATGAAGCGATAAGTGGCAACCTAACAGAGCAGATGAGTCAGTTTCTAAGGCTGGGATAATTGTTAATTATTATAGTGATTTGAAATTAGAACTCCAAGTATTTTCAAAGCTAGCTTACACATATTCACTACTTCATTTAAAGGAAGAAAAATAATAACAACCATTAAATACAGTGAAGCAATATCTATTTTTGAAATATATGCTGTGGAAAAGAATTGCTTAATAATTTTACAACAACAGAAAGGTTGGCTAAGATAGTCTACCCTACAACAATCTATCCTCTTTTTACAACACACTTTTCTGCTTGCTTCATGCAAAAACCACAGTCTGCCAAAGTCAGTTTAATACCTCCATACTGTGTAAAAAGAAAAGCATAAAAATTTAAGGAAATTCATAATAGAGAAAAAGAAAAAAAAAACACCTAGAACTGCCAAGTTAATCACAAAACTGTTTTGCCTACTCTTTCTGGATATAAATAGTTTTGTGTAAAATATGCAAATACTAATTCTCTAGAAGGGGGTTAATTTTCATGTTAAAAAAGTCATTGCTCTAACCTAAAATTGAATGCACAAAACTAAACAGGCCATCAATAGTTTACCTTTTAGTGACTAAATTGTAAAACCACTGGGAGATATATAACACTGATTTCCATATACACTTACAAGTCTAATCATTTCAGCTGACTTTGTATGCTATATTCACCTGAAGAACTGTTTTTAAAGGTTCAACTTGTGAAGACACTTCAAATGGTTTTAAATGATAACGGAAAAGATATTAATACTGTCTGTATGCGTATGTTAACAAATTTGTCCCATGTCCTCCAGACAACTGTCTATTTTTTGAACTAAATTTGAACAACAACGCAGATAATACTTTAATTTGAAGACAGTTCAAAAACCTAGACAGTATGTAGGAAATGTTTTGTTGCAAGTTATATGTGTGTTGTAAAAATTAAAATCCCAATATTACAAAACAAGTTAAACAGAAAACTTGAGCCAAAGTGAGATTCAAGTTATCTGAAGCAGGTCTCTTAACATCTCATAACATAAGTTCTAAAAGCAGCTTACATTTCTGTGATATCTAGGTTAGTAAAACCTAAGAAATGAGTTGGCTATGGTGTCATAAAGAGAAATACAACATGATCTCTAGGCCCCAGATAATTTCCTTGCAAGTTGGGACAGTGAAGTGAGGGATTAGAAAGAAACACTGCTACTATTAAAGAGAAATTTTTACAGTGAGGTAACGTGCTAGAAAATCTCCCCCAAATCAGTTCACCAATGCTGTATTAACTAAACTAGAATTCTAATTGGGATCAGTCATAACAAAGTTTTACTTTGTAATATTTAATCAAGATTTTTTGAACCCTTGATACATACACCAAGGACTGGTGGTTCAAAGATTACTGATATATTCCTCTGTGAGAAGCTCAAAATTAAGATCTAGTCCTGGTTCAAACCACTTATCCAGCAGTAATATGCCTTAGGGAAAGCCAATTTACCTCGATGCATCTTGCAATAACAAACCTTTACCTCCTTTCTCTCTTAGTGTATTTCCTTACTACAGAGAGAAAATTTGGTGCTGGACCCCCCGAAATCCTCACTTCCAAGAACATACCTCTTGCACCTACCTTTCTGTTTCTCCTAATGTCAGAGAAAGAGGTACCCTTCCATTCAAGATTAATCCCTCCATCTGTCCCCCTTGGGGATATCCTTAAAACTCTTCCAAATTCTACTTCCAAATTCTCTACTGGCTGTTTGTCTAAAGGCTATAAGCATAAACCTTTCTACTTTAGTATAAAAATAGAAAACAAATTCTCACTGTGATTCCATAATTTCCTTATGCTTCACTGAAAGTTAAATTTCTTGAAAAATAGCACATAACTGCTATCCATACACCTCAACCATTCACTTTCAAGCAGTACAACAAAGCTTTTATCCATCAGAACACTAAAACTGAAGTTAAAGTCATCGTGGACTTCAAATGATCAAATTTAGCGGATTCATTGAGGCCTCTAAGATAGTTGACATTGTCAATAACTCTCCTGTTTCTGGGAAACCACTTTTCTGTTGGTGATCCTGCCACTGCCTATGAGTGTTGTTTGCTAGACACACTGGGCCCTCTTCTTCCCTCACAACACATGGTTATCCTGGGCAGTAATGTTTCTTTTCACTGCTTCATCTGCCTTTCATGCTGATGATTCTTCAATATATTGGGTTGGCCAAAAAGTTCGTTCGGGGTTTTCCGCACGATCTTATGGAAAACCGCGAACTTTTGGCCAACGCAATAAGACTCTTCTGATTGGTAAGTTCAAAACCAAATTAACCTTTCCCCTGCTGTTCACTTCCTCAGGGAAAGATATCACCAGCCCCCCAGCTGCCCCAGCCAGACAGATGGGCATCACCTTGGACTGCTTCCTCTTGCTTCACACAGAGTCACTCATTAAGTCAATCAGGTGCTCTGGCATCTGATGCCACTCCTCCACAGTTAGTGTTACTGCTGCAGTAGTCTCCTGATTTGTTTTCCTATCTCTTGTCTCTTCTCTAAGTCTTCTTCTATACTGCTACCAGGATGATTTTTCTA